AAATATTATTTCATTTTAAATAATACTCTAATATTATTAAAATGAATTATGATGTTTAATAAATATTGAAAAATATTAATATTTGATTACAAAATACTAGAAACATTTATCGAATTAATATTAATGAAAAGTTCTTATGAAAGTGATATTAATTTACAGAATAGTTAGTAGATACGTTTGAAAACTCGGTTAATAACAATTACGAACGTACTTTACTTTTCTCTTTTAAAGGATTAAAAGGAAAAGCTTTCAAATTTGAAACACTCGATTCGATGGAAGCTAATTTCTCCGTTAAAGTTATGAGAAAGTGAGAGAAGTAATTTATCAAAGTTCCAAAACTAAAAGACTCATTTCAAAATAAGTATAATATTCTCTTTGGTTTGACTTATCCTATCAATAATTTCAATTTCTTCTATGTAAAAAAGTTATTCACACATTTTTCTATTGATAATAAAAGATAAAGAAATGAAGTAAAACGTTCAATTAAATGAAACTCACTTTTAACGTGTATAAATAAATTATAATTGATATATTTTGCATTAATAATTAACAAATAATCTATATCATAAATATTTCATTATAAACAATTGAATCGTAATTTTATTTCATTGTTTATGGTCAAAAATTAGCAACAGTTTAATTGATAGATCAATTGCAAATAAATAAATAATTAAGTCAAATAATTAATGTGTAAAAATGTGTATTGAATAAAAATTGCATAATATATTATATACTTGCCTTTTCTCCGCTGTCACTTGGTAAATAAAACGTCAGAACGGTAAGAAAAGAGATCCCCATACAAGGTATGATGATGTTGACGGTATAGAAAAGTGTTTTCCTTCTCATCGTAATGTTGAATGTTATATCGAGGTATGGTTCGTCGCAGCACGTATAAAACTTTTCGTTTCTGAAATAAAAAAGAAAAAGAAAAAAAAAAAAAAAAACGAACACTTGAATAAGTAAAAATATGAAAATTTTATATACTTAATATATAAATATAATTAAACAATTTATATTTAACACGATGAAATTATTATTTGCACTTAACAAAAAACGTATTCGCGTATCATTTAATTTATATTATTATTTATTAAATAGAATGTGGATTTTTTTTGAAGTAAATTGAATTACTTAAATTCAATATTGTAATATTAAAAAAAAAAAAAAACAATAAGAATACTAACCGTACTGCAGGCACTTCTAAAATATCCCATTCAACCGACATATAGAATTCTGAAAGATCTACTCCCACGTCCACCACGTTACTTCCGGATTTTTCATCCATGTGCCTTAGATCGACCTACGTGAAAAAACAAAATGGAGAAAAAAAACAAACATTTTATTAATCCGATTTTTCATGTATATGTCCGGTTTTTATATATATATTATATAATTAAATGTTTACGAGATATATTTGCTCATTTTCAAAACGCCATGCCCACGATAATATAAAGCTTTATCTCTGAAATAACGAAACTGCGAATTTTATTTTAAATTTTTTTTAAAAAAAAAAAAAGAAAACAATATATATATTTAATAATACGTTGTTATAATATTTGATATATACTAAAATGTTTCAAATAGAAATAATTAAAAATTTATTTTATGGTTTCTTTTTTTTCTACTTCGCAAGTTCGTGATTAAAGAGTATTATTACGAATAATAATAATAATAATGATAATAATAATAATAATAATAATAATTTGTAAACAAATTCCGAGGAAGTGCATGTCTTGAGATGCACTTTGATGCCCGCCAAAGCGTAAACGGAGCAAAAAAGATCTAACCGTTGGAATTGTTGTTCAAATAATCAATTCGAACGATCAATTCAACAATTTATTTTTTTCTTTAATTGATAAAACGATTACATTTTTTTTTTGTTTTTATAGAAAAACGTGTTGTTTTTTATTCCTTTTTTTTCTTTTATAATTAATTATTCGATGAATTTTGTTATTGGTGCGTGTCATTTTAAATCGTCGAAGCATACAATTCAAACAATGATTCCAACGTTTTCGCTCAACGTGGGCGTTGCGAGCTTAAATACTAGCCACTGATGAAACAAACGCTTTCTCGATTGGTCGAATCGTCGACCAGGGTTGTATCAATTCCGGGAGCCAAAAAAAAGTCACTTTAAGAGTTTCTTTTGTGAAAAATATTTGTATCATTTTTTAGGATTTAACAAATAAAATATCCCCCGTTCCCCCAATCATTTATAATTCAACGTTTTTACGTTTGCACAAAATCGGGGAAAGAAATGTAATAATATTACTTGTATTATATTTAAACATAATTTGTTTGATTGTATCAATAATAATGAGTAAAAATTTTAATTAAAAAGAAAAACAAATGACAGAACGTGAAATATATTATGCAGACGTGTTATTATTCGACCAATGAAATGAAATAAAATAAAATACTTATGTACGAAAACGAACATAACCTCAATAACCTCCGAAATAACTTCAATTATCTCACGTACCAATATAATACTCTACATTTATCGAAATTACGATAATATGATAAAATAAAATGAAAATATTAAATACTATTGATAAAGTTTTTAATTAATATGTACAATCTAATTTATTTATTTACGAATTATTTCATGCTATAAATTTGAAATCGTTTTTCCTGCGCATGCGCATCGTAAATATCGGCAACTTCGTGGTGTCGATTTTACGGTCGCATCTAACTTCACTTTTCAAAACACGCGCCAAAAGAAGTTTAACTTCAAAAATATATTATTACAGATTATTGTTTGTGAATAGTCGAAGTAAAATGAATTAAATATATACAGAGAAAATATTATATATATAAAATGATAAGTATTACTTTATTTTTCCTGTTTTCTTTTTGTTTCCGGATTTGACATAACCCAACTTAAATCTACGTTCACTAGTTATCCTTTTTTTTTTTTACTAGCCACTCGAATATTTACACCACATTCAACGTACATTCGCGCTCGTACGCGTGCTTATCGTTAATTAGAAACAGGCTGTTATAAAATACACAAAATATATACATATATATAATATAATATATAATATAATATTATATATTATATATATATATATACTGGGTTGGTAACTAAGTTCCAGCTATTTTATTTAAATTCTTTAAAAGTTTATTTTTCAATTAAAATGAACAATTATTAAATAATCAATGATGTATTTTCTTCTTTGTTAAAATTTAAAACAAAACAGCAGAAACTTAGTTGCCAACTTAATATATATATATGTATACATGTATATATTTATGTATATATGTATATGTATAATGTATCACAAAAAGAAGTAAGTTCCCAGGCAACGATGATCATAAGAACACTGACGAGAGCATCGCATCGCTAACAAACAAGTGAAAAATGGTTTCGACAAATGGATACCTAAAGAAAAAAAACAAAACAAAAAGTAAACCTACTCTTCGTTCTTTTTTATTCTTTTACACAACATTTTTTATTTTATTAATTAATTTCTTTTTCTTAACTTTTAAAGATAGATTTTCGTTTTAACATTTATCAAAGTAAGAAACAAAATTGAATCGATTATTTTTCTTCTCGTTAAATTTATTATATCTTTAGTATTATAAAATTAGAAAATAATAAGAAGAAACGAAGTTTGTTTTTTCTTTTCTCTTTTTTTTTTTTTTATTAGATACCATTCATCGTTTCTAGGCGACTAAACGAGTGTCGAACTTTGTGCACAATTATTTCTTTTTTTTTTTCTTCTTCCAATTAAATACGGCAGACCTTTTCTTTCTTTCGACAAAAACGAAGACGAATTGAGGAATTGGAATGAAAGAAAAAGAGAGAGAGAGAGAAAGAAACTGTGTTTGTATGTATGTATACGAAAGTATGACTATTAAAACCATTGATTGCAAATTTCAATTATTGTTTTTTACTTATTGGATCTACAAATTGAACGATACGTTTAAATGAAAAAAAAAAATACTATTTTCTTAACTCAGTATAAATATTGTTTTCTACCTTTCAATCTAAATATTCAAAATTAGCTAATGCAACTCGTCCATTCTAAGAACAATTACTAAAAGCAATTATTTATTTGTTGTATAAAAATTGTAACAAAGTATTATTATCCTCTTTTTTATTTTTTGCTGTAAGAAAATATTAATTTATAAAAATTGTTTTTGTGTGTGTCATTATGAAGGAAGTGAGATGGTGGGAAGCAATAAAAGGAATGAAAGAAAATAAAATAATATAAGTAATATAAGTATAGTCATTTTTTAAAGAAATTTTAATATTTATTGTTTCATACGAATAAGTATTTTTTAATACTTTTTGAGATCATAAGAGAGAAAGGTATAAAAATGAAGAAATAAATAAAGAGAGAGTATAACACATAAGTATATTAATTTATAAGAAATTAATATATATTTCTATTAATATACGAATTCATTTTAATTTGAATACTTTTTAAGATCACAAGAGATAAAAGTATACCGTGAAAAAAAGTACAAATAAAAAGTATGATAAGTATATTAATATTTCATAAGTTTGTATATTTCAATGAGTAAGTATTTTTGAATACAATTTTTAGGTTAGGATGATTCTAATAGAATTTAATATTCGAATGTGTAACAGAATTTGTGATTAAAGTACGTTTAATTTAACACAGAGAAAAATATAGAAAGATAAAAAAAGAAAGAGATAGAGAGAGAGAGAGAGAGAGAGAGAGAGAAACAGACGACATTAAATTAGTCCTCCTCGTGGATTTAAAATTCGTGTTAACCGTTATCCTCTTCCCCCACCCTACTACTACTCTTCTCCTATAGGTCAAGTAGGAGCCATTACCTGTACTCGTGGTAGCGAAAATATTTCCGGCATCTTGTTAAGTTAAATGCATTTAAAGATGTGCGAAAATGTGCAACTGAGTGTATATGTATATGTGGTTGGTTTTGTATATCGTAAATGTACTCAAATTTCACGTGGTAGAAGTAATTTACATTAGTTGGTACGTATAATAGAAAACAAAAATGGCTGTCTCTTCTTTTCACTATAATATATTAACATATACACACACACGTGTGTGTATCAGTATATAAGTTCTTTTACAATTTGTTTCTATGAACGTTTTTTTCTTTCTTTTCTTACTATTTAAGATCATAATTACGCCATGTTAATTAATGTCAATTAAAATATATACATGTGTATGTATATGAAATTGTATTTTTTTAATTAATAAAATTTAATCTTTACAAATTATTTTTACACCAACTGTCAACATTCAGTAAATTAGTTTAACGTAACTTTGAAAAAAACATTATTTAAGTGTAATTGTGTGTTAATTATGTTAATTAATCTTTTCTTGTTCAATTAAAAATCATTAATGGACATCTATGTTAATCTAATTAACAATAAAAAATTGGGGATGTTTGTCAAAGAATACATTTTTTTTTTTAATAGGAAAAATCTTTCTCTTTCTAATTGTATATTACCATTTATCAGAAAAAAAATGAAGTATTTGAAATGTCGACATTATCTATGATATTTTAAAGTCATAAAGTTTAATTACATTATCAAGAGACTAAGAACAAAAAAAAAAGAATTATATATCTCTCTCTCTCTCTCTCTCATTTTATTTCTCTTGCAATCTTTATCTTTTTGCTTATCGGAGATTAAAGAATTTAAATTAATTGGTAGCATGTATGTGTGTGTGTGTGTGATGCCCAAGAGAGAAAAAGGATTATTTTTCATTTAACTGATGGTAAAATCTTTTAAACTTGATGAAAGATATTATATAAATGGTACAGTCTGTATAGAAAACTATTAAACGACGTTTATTTATTACACGTGTGATTAATTATAATATTTGTTTAACTATTTCATACCATTTGTTAAACTTTTGATACAATAACGATTAATAATAATAATTGTTTAACCCTTTTTAATCCAATAATAATAAAACATATTATAAATAAATTAATATTAAAAATTGACTTCAACACAGAATTAATTACAAAAATTGTTGACACAACCACCCTTTTGGGTTAGATATATAATTTTGTTAATAAATATAAGATAAATAAAATAAATTAATGATTATAACTGGATTATTCAATTTTATTATAAGAAAATATTAGATTTTCTTTAACTTTTGTACTTTTAAAAAAAAATAAAAAAAATAAAAATGAAAAAGTAGAACGGAAAATGGTGTCCTTAGTCCTTTTAGTTTAGAAGAGATTCGTTACAAGTTTTGTAGCAAAACGTTGGCGGCGGATGAAAAGAACGTTGTGATAGAGGTGTGAGATGCAGGTGGTGGCAATGGGGTGAGTTAGGGGTTG